GCCCCTCACTCAGCCAGTGAGCAGGAACCAGTCTGTATGTGGGATCCGAACCCTTGGCGGGAGCACCGCCACGCTCCCAAGCGGCGCACTGTAGCAATGCACCACCGGGCCACCCCAGGGGGTTCCACCATCTGCACACACACCACAGCTGGGGCAACACTGATTCACTGGACACAGCTGCTTCTTGACTCCTCAGACTTTCAGTGACTTCTAAGTCATGTGAGGCTTGAGGCTGTCTTCTTTGCCACAGGGGGTCCCACTCTCAGTCACAGTTCTTAGAGGAGAAAGAGAGCAGAAGGTCCTCACAGAGGACACTCACTGGGACATGGGGACGCTGACCCTCAGACTCCTTTAAGACCTGAGGGCTCTGACCATCAGGTATAGACTTCCCAGGAAGATTGGATGTGGGAGCAGAGCTGAACCTGGAGCTCTGCCATTCTTTGTCCCAGCTCCTGAAGACAGTTCTGCCGGGCTTGCCTGGGACACGACAGGATGGTGGAGGCTGGAAGACAGTGCAGTCCTGAACTGGGCTCAAGCAAGTGAGCCAGGTGCAGGCTCGAGGTCAATGCTGGACTTCAGGGTTGATATCTTTGTGTCCTCCTTCAGCACCTGTTTGTGTCCAAGTACACGTGGACTGGAGGAAGCTGGGGAGCCTGGATAGCCCCAGATCAGGTAACTGAATGCTCAGCTTGGGGTCAGGAAGGAGTGAGTCTTGCTTTCTTTGGGTGGTTCTGGCAAGCCTGGATGGGGACCTGGGCAGACCTCTTGCCTGGTGGCTGAATTCTGAGTTTGAAGTCCTGGCCACACTTTTGTCCAGCAGGCTGTGGACTGGGCTTTGAATCCACATGAGGACGTTTGATTTGTGCCTGGGGGTTAAAGACATGACACTGGGCAAGTGTCTTCATGGCAGACAGGGGAACATCAGGAGAGAAAACATCAGGCCTGTGGGCTGTTGACCTAGCACTAAGAGCTGGGTATCGGCAGAAGTTCTTTAGAGCAGGGCAGAGGGAGTCACAAAAGTTCACCTCATGTCCTTTGGCTGGTCCACAAGGGCTCAGCTCATGCATTTTGTTGTGAGACTGTGTAGGGCAGAATGATCCTGTATCAGGTGTCTTCACAGGTGGTGGATCTGTGGGAACAGGGCTCTGGGCAGGTCTCCTGGTCATTTGGACAGGCAATGGCCTGGTAGAATGCTATGGGAGAAGAAACCTCACATTAGACACGTCAAGAGTCAGAATTATCAAACTATCAAGTAGAGAACTGACATATTTAACACAATCAAAATAGAAAATGTATTTATAAAGTAAGCAGACTAAGGCAAAGAAAATGGCAAACTAATATAATAAATAGGGTAAAAATAAATACGTTAGAATTTCTTCTAAATCAGGATCAAAATAGAAGACAACCCAATATAATGAGACAGTACATATGAAATTAAATTTCACAGAAAATGCCATACACATGGTCATGGTACGTTTGCAGAGATTCTCACTTCAGGGGTGGTAAGGAGGAAAAAAATACAAGTGTGACTTTTTTTGTCTATCAGATATGAAGATAAAAAGATTCATTATACTGTCTGCTGTTAAGATCAAAAGAACAAAGCATTTCCCAACACAATGGAGACAACATAAATGGCAAATGTTTTTGAAGAGAAATTTGGGAGTACTAATAAAAATGTAAAAGATGCCTTATCTGGATATAAGATATATTCGTAGGAGGCAAAACACTTCGCACATGCACAAAAATGCTACCACTAGCATTTGTTGACCAATTTGCAAGGAATAACATAAAAAAAAAATTCCAGTAGTGAAACTGGAATATGAAAAGTACAAAAATAAAACAAGTCTCCAGTAGGCCAGCCTAAATTTGAACCTAAACCTGACACGTGAGGAGTACAGTAGTGAGGCACATCGGGGGGCCCAGAAGGGAAGGAGAGCAGGGAGGCAGGGCGAGACGCAGCCTCAGACAGGCACAAGCTTCCACCGGTTCCTGCCAGTCACTCTGCACCTTCTCCCGGGGGCTCATGGGAAATTTCTGTGGTAGAGATTTTCTCTGCTGCTCTTCTTGCCTGCAGAAGAAATCACGTTAACCACCTGAACGTGCCTGACCCTTCTGTCCATACCAGTGGCTGGGAAACAAAAATAACCTGCAGCCCAGTCCCAGCCCTTGTGTTGGGGTGTGGGAGACATTACAGCCTCTGTACACTTTGCTAAGGCTGCTTCTTCCCTTATCTCTGAAGCAGCCCTCACTTGCAGGAAGCTCCCCCTTTGCTGCTGAGGTTTCAGCATTGAGTACTTTTGTGTCCACCCTGTTGCTGCTCTGCCTGCCAGTGCCACATTCCACGACAGTCCTCGGACCCTCCTCTTTAGGGGTTCTCAGCGCTAGAATGAGCTCTGAATGTGGACTCCTGGAAGTCAGGGAACTCTGGTCTGTTGTAGAGTTTTCTGTCTGTGCCTAGAACGGAGTGTACGGAAAGAGTAGAGGAGGAGCACAGCCTCCTTAGGTTCCAAGGCTCCAGGATCATTCTGACCCTGCGCGATCTTCACCTTTGTTTTTGCTCCTTCTCTCTGTCACTCTTGTTAAAGGGCCATGGAGTCTGGGGCTTCCTTGGGTTCAGGTTCTGCTTCTCCTTATTTGAGCCCAAGGGCCCCAACCCAGCACTTCATGGGACACTTCCTGTTACTCGCCCTGTGCCCAAAGGCTCCACAGTTCTTGCATTTCACCTGTGGGTGGAGGAAGAGTGGTCAGTAAGTCGGTAGCAATCGCAGGCAGCTTTTAAAGGTTAATATAAGGATTGATTTTTGGAGTTAGAAGTAATGTTGGAGGTCGGGGGGAGGACACATACACACCCATAGCCTGTTGATTGCCTGGTTTTCAAAATATTGTGGTCCTTCCCAGAGCCCATTTGGCAGAAGGATCCAAGGAGGAAGGACTTTTGTGTCTAAGGGTGATGATAATAAACGAGAGTTTAAGTATTGAACAAACACCAGGCTGGATGTGTTACTAAATAGGGAATGAGGTTGCTCCTCAGAGGCTCGGAATGAGCCTTCAGCCAGGTGAGGACAGCAGCAACCAGGCCAGCCTCGGATAAGCAAGAACCACTGAGTTATAGACACCTAGGTTTCCAAGCTTAAACCCACTCTCTGGGGTCCATGCAGACCTTTTGGTTGTTGAAAGTTCAAAGCCTCCACCTACCCCAGTTTCCTCCACCTCTGGTGGGGAAGCCCTCTGCCCCACAGGATCTTGCTGTGGCTTCTTCAGGTTCTTGGCATTATGGGGTCCTTGAGGCTGATGATGTATGTATTGACCTGCCATCTGCTTAATGTCTTTGGGCTTCTGGTCAGTCTTGCTTATTAATTGATTGTTGAATGAAAAGGACAAAACAACTTTATAAACATAACATAAAAATACTCCTGCTTTCATAATCCTATCTTCCCCAGTGGGATTGGGAAGGACTCACTGACCACTAAGTCACGCAAAATTATAATTTGCTCTTCTCATGAATTGATACCCCATTCCGTCGCATTTTGTGATTCTCTCCTAGCATTATCTGTTCCCTGAATAGGGCATTGCCTGAGAAAAGACCTCTTGATTTACAGACAGTGAAACTACATTTGCACCCTTGCATAAAAGAATCCTGGGTTCTAAGTTTTTTTCCAGCCACTCCCTATAAGCTTAAAGCCTCAAATAATATTTACCAAAGCCAATAGACGAACAGGCAAAATCTATTGGCTTTTTTCCCCTCACATATTTCTAGAAAAGCCACTATAGGCATCCTTCAGTATTCATAGGGAATTGGTTTTAGGACCTCTGTGCACACCAAAGTATGCAGATGCTCACGACCCTTAGATAAAATAACGGTATTTGCATATAACCTATGCACATCCTCCCGTATACTTTAAATCATCTCTAGATTACTTACAATACCTGATACAATGTAAGTGTTGTGTAAATACTTGGTATACTGTATTGTTTATAGAAAAATGAGAAGAAAAATAGTCTGTACAGTTCAGAACAGATGCAATTGTTTTTGAATATTTTTGATCCATGATTTGTTCAACCCCTGAATGCATAATCCACAGATATGGAGGGCCAACTGTATGTGCAAATTCACACCAGGCAACTCACAAATAAAAGCCTGTGTTCTGGTGAGGAACACACAAGACAGAAACCTCCAGGCATGTTCAGGCAGAAATCTATGACTCACAATCCTGCCTGCCCCCTTGGGAATCCCTCCAGCTCTGACCCACGTTACTCCCTGACATTTGTCTCACCTCTTCTCTTGGTCTCCATGTCTTTGTGAAATTGTGTGAGGCCAGTCCACTGAAGACCGGCATTTTTTAATTGATTCACAGTGGGCTCGTGCATCCTCTCTTGGCCTCAGAGGAAATCGTAGCAGAACCTCCACTGAGGCAACAACTATCCATTTTTCTGTCATCAAATCAATCTGATAAAGAGAAAAGAGAATCAAGATACAACTGGAGTTCTGCAGGCAAGAAGAGGCCTTGGGGTGAAAAAAAGATAAACTCCCAATTTCTTGAGTTTTTCAGTGTAATGCTAATGACCTCCAAATGGCACCAAGGGCAAAAGCCAAGAGTATAAGGGAAATGCTGGTGTTCCCAGGTGGGAACTAAGAGGCCTCAGCAGTTGCATAAACCTGTGTCCATCCTGCCAGATTGCATGTCCATTTTAATTGGTTGATGTTTTTGTATTGAGGTTGTTACACACAGAATATCACCACCCATCATGGGAGGAGAACTTGCCTNCTCCACCTCTGGTGGGGAAGCCCTCTGCCCCACAGGATCTTGCTGTGGCTTCTTCAGGTTCCTGGCATTATGGGGTCCTTGAGGCTGATGATGTATGTATTGACCTGCCATCTGCTTAATGTCCTTGGGCTTCTGGTCAGTCTTGCTTATTAATTGATTGTTGAATGAAAAGGACAAAACAATTTTATAAACACAACATAAAAATACTCCTGCTTTCATAATCCTATCTTCCCCAGTGGGATTGGGAAGGACTCACTGACCACTAAGTCACACAAAATTATAATTTGCTTTTCTCATGAATTGATACCCCATTCCGTCACATTTTGTGATTCTCTCCTAGCATTATCTGTTCCCTGAATAGGGCATTGCCTGAGAAAAGACCTCTTGATTTACAGACAGTGAAACTATATTTGCACCCTTGCATAAAAGAATCCTGGGTTCTAAGTTTTTTTCCTGCCACTCCCTATAAGCTTAAAGCCTCAAATAATATTTACCAAAGCCAATAGACGAACAGGCAAAATCTATTGACTGTTTTCCCCTCACATATTTCTAGAAAAGCCACTATAGGCATCCTTCAGTATTCATAGGGAATTGGTTTTAGGACCTCTGTGCACACCAAAGTATGCAGATGCTCACGACCCTTAGATAAAATAACGGTATTTGCATATAACCTATGCACATCCTCCCGTATACTTTAAATCATCTCTAGATTACTTACAATACCTGATACAATGTAAGTGTTGTGTAAATACTTGGTATACTGTATTGTTTATAGAAAAATGACAAGAAAAATAGTCTGTACAGTTCAGAACAGATGCAATTGTTTTTGAATATTTTTGATCCATGATTTGTTCAACCCCTGAATGCATAATCCACAGATATGGAGGGCCAACTGTATGTGCAAATTCACACCAGGCAACTCACAAATAAAAGCCTGTGTTCTGGTGAGGAACACACAAGACAGAAACCTCCAGGCATGTTCAGGCAGAAATCTATGACTCACAATCCTGCCTGCCCCCTTGGGAATCCCTCCAGCTCTGACCCACGTTGCTCCCTGACATTTGTCTCACCTCTTCTCTTGGTCTCCATGTCTTTATGAAATTGTGTGAGGCCAGTCCACTGAAGACCGGCATTTTTTATTTGATTCACAGTGGGCTCGTGCATCCTCTCTTGGCCTCAGAGGAATCGTAGCAGAACCTCCACAGAGGCAACAACTATCCATTTTTCTGTCATCAAATCAATCTGATAAAGAGAAAAGAGAATCAAGATACAACTGGAGTTCTGCAGGCAAGAAGAGGCCTTGGGGTGAAAAAAAGATAAACAAACTCCCAATTTCTTGAGTTATTCAGTGTAATGCTAATGACCTCCAAATGGCACCAAGGGCAAAAGCCAAGAGTATGAGGGAAATGCTGGTGTTCCCAGGTGGGAACTAAGAGGCCTCAGCAGTTGCATAAACCTGCGTCCATCCTGCCAGATTGCATGTCCATTTTAATTGGTTGATGCTTTTGTATTGAGGTTGTTACACACAGAATATCACCACCCATCATGGGAGGAGAACTTGCCTCTGCTCTGACCCTAGACTCTGCCTCCACCTCATTCCATCTACATCTCCCTTGACCCAGTATCTCCCATATTTACATCTCTTTTTGGGATCCCACACTGCTTTAAGAACTGCTTCCCCTGTTCCATCGAGAGAGTGTTGGGGTCCATCAGTGCTGGTCCTGTCCAGGGAATTCTGTTTTCCTGTGGAGGGGAGAAAATGAAATCATTGAATTCTTGATATCCCAGGAGTCTACTGGATGCTGGATACAGTATGCCCCTATCTCCCTTCTGTGCCCAACTTCTCACCTGTTACCCTCTTCTGAAACCTACGTGTGCATGTCCTCCTCCTAGTACCATACTACCCATATGAATGACAAAGAAGTTGATAAATCAAAACCAAATTTTGTTCACTAGACTTAGTGTGTTTGATATACATGGAATAAAGATTCCTTTTTTAGAGAACCTCATAGTATACCATAAAACACCTGGAAAAATTCATCATGTAACTGGCATCAAATATAATTCAATATATTAGAAAACTGAACATTTTAAGTTTGTACTACCCTTTTGTCACACTTTGACAAAGTGAGATATAACTATATTATTTAACTTCTTTACACTATAAAGTATGTTTTAACTTATGAAACACATTTCATGAAATTCCTGAAATCAAATTTCTTAATATCAAATGTGAGATTCAAATGGAAAATATAAGTGGTTAAGAAAATAAAAGATGCGACAATTGTATGTCCAAATTTGTAAGCAGAGAAAAACCTGATTCCAGGGGAAATTTCTTAGTGTAAATGACCACATCATTGAAGAAAGATAAAATTTCTTGAAAATGCTCATTTTAAGAAATTAAAGACAGAAAAACAAATAATAACAAAAGAAGCAAAAAGCAGACTTGGTTAACCAAAAAATAAATAGGATCTAATGAAAAAACAATAGAATATACCAGAAAAGGGCTGGCCCGGTGGCGCACTGGTGAGTGCGCCGCTTGGGAGTGCGGCAGCGCTCCCGCTGAGGGTTCGGATCCCATGTGGAGAC